ACACTGACTACTGAGTCTCCTCCGGTCGCTGAGTCTGCTCAGGTAGCCGCGTCGGGTCAGGTGTTTGCTGCGGCGTCCGGGTCTGGTCCTGAGTCTGCCCCCTGCTCGTGTCGTCTCCTGTCTCACCAGACTCTCCTCTGGCACCACCGCCTTGGTCACCCCTCCCTGCCTCGTCTTCGAGGCATGGCCTCCCGTGTCCTTGTCTCTGGTCTCCCCCGGTCTCTCCCTCCCCTTCCTCCGGGGCCTGCCCTCACCTGCGTTCCCTGCGTCGAGGGGCGGCAGCGCGCTGCTCCTCACTCCTCCGAGTTTCCTCCGACAGAGGCTCCGCTGCAGACGCTTCACATGGACGTGTGGGGCCCAGCCCGCGTCCGTGGACAGGGTCACGAGCGTCACTTCCTGCTGGTGGTTGACGACTACTCGCGTTACACCGCAGTCTTCCCCTTGCGCAGCAAGGGTGAGGTCACTGAGGTGTTGATCGCCTGGATCCGCGCAGCTCGTCTCCAGCTCAGAGAGAGTTTCGGCTCGGACTTTCCTGTTCTGCGTCTGCACTCTGACAGAGGCGGAGAGTTCTCCTCTGACCTTCTGCGAGCCTTCTGTCGTGCACGAGGCATCCGCCAGACCTTCACGCTTCCGGACTCTCTGCAGCAAAATGGGATTGCTGAGCGCCGCATTGGCATGGTCATGGACGTCGCTCGTACGTCCATGGTCCATGCGGCTGCCCCCCATTTTCTGTGGCCGTTTGCGGTTCGGTACGCGGCGCATCAGATCAACCTTCAGCCCCGGGTCTCCATGCCAGAGACCTCCCCTGCTTTGCTGTGGACGGGGAAGGTTGGCGATGCGTCTGCGTTCCGTATCTGGGGATCTCGGGCGTTTGTCCGCGACTTGTCTGCGGACAAGCTGTCCCCTCGTGCTGTTCCCTGCGTCTTCCTTGGCTTCCCCCCTGACGCGCCGGGCTGGCAGTTCTACCACCCCACCTCGCGCCGTGTTCTGTCCTCCCAGGACGTCACGTTTGACGAGTCGGTTCCCTACTACCGTCTCTTCCCCTACCGCACTGCGTCCCTCCCCCCCCCGCCGCTCTTCCTTACGCCAGGTCCCCCTCGGTAGACCCCCTCCCCCCTCAGGGTCCTGCCCCCTCCGGTGTGTCTCAGGTAGACGCAGTCGACCCTGTCGAGGTAGCTGTTGACTCTGGTGCTGCTAGGGGTGCTGAGCCTGCGGGTGCTGGGTCTGGGGGTGCTGACTCTGGGGGTGCTGAGCTTGGGGGTGCTGACTCTGGGGGTGCTGCGCCTGGGGGTGCTGAGCCTGGGGGTGCTACGCCTGGGGGTGCTGAGCCTGGGGGTGCTGCGTCTGGGGGTGCGGAGTTTGAGGGTACTGGACCTGCTCGTGTGGCGTCTGGCGGTGCTGGGCCTGGAGGTTCTTCGGGTACTTCGTCCCGGCGGGAGCTACTCTCTCCACAGGAGCTGCGTGAGTGGTTTGCCCGGCGCTGGAGGCGAGCTGCTGGAGCTGGAGGTGCTGCGGGTGCTGGAGGTTCTGCTGCTGCTGAGGGTGCTGGTGCCGCGGGTCCCGGAGGTGCTCGTACTGGGAGTACTGGAGCTGCTGGGCCTGCGGGTGTTTCTCGTACTGGAGCTGGTGGTGCTGCGGGCGTCGGTGCTACTGAGGGTGCTGGAGCTGGACCCGCTGCGTCTTCTGGTGGTCCGGCTGGAGCTGGAGCTGCTGGGAGTGTTAGCGCTGAGGGTGCCTCTGGTGCTGGTGCCTCTGAGGGTACTGGCGTTGGCGCTGCTGGAGCTGGGGGTGCTGCTGGCGCTGGTGCTGTCGTTGAGGGTGCTGGTGCTGTCCCTTCTGGTTCTGGTGGTGCTGCGCGGCCGCGGCCGTACTTCGTTCCGCTCCTTGCGCAGGTTCTTGGTCTTCCGCCCTCTGCTAGTCCAGCTCCTCCCTTAGAGTGTCCACCGCCTGTCCAGTCCGAGTCACTGTTACAGCCTACCTCTCCTCTGCCTGCTCCTTCTCCCTACGCTGGTCCTACTGGAGGTCTTGCTGAGCGTCGTGAGCCTGCGTCTCGTCCTGCGTCGCCTGTCCGTGCTGCTCGCACTGGTACTCGTGGTTCACGTCAGCGTCCTCCTCCTGTCCCCGGCACACACCGGATGTCTCTGCGTCCCTCCACTGCTCCGCTGCGTGCCCCTTTGCCTTCTCCTCCTGAGTCCTCTCTTCCTGTTCTTGCTGACCCGGAGTCGGACTCCCTTCGTGCTGCCAGTCCTACTGTCACGCGTCTCCTTGCTACTGTCGTCACTGACCCTTCCTTTGAGTACGCTGCTGCGTCTGCCTTAGTTTCTGAGCTTGTCGACTTCGCTGCTCGCTGTCGCCTAGACTACGCTACTAGTCTTGTCGCTGAGTCTGAGTCTGTCTGTCCTCCGTCCGTCGGGGGTGAGTGTGCCCTTGGCACGGACGTCCTTGAGGACAGGCAGGAGGAGTTCCAGTGCTTTGCTGCTGCTTCACCTCATCTCGTGTCCATGCTGCTTGCCCCTGAGGGAGACCCGGATGCACCAGACATCCCGACTCCGCGCTTTACGCGGAGGCGATAGAGGGTCCCTACTCCTCTAGGTGGCAGGCAGCCATGGATGCAGAGATGGCTTCCTGGAAGTCCACAGGCACCTACGTCGACGAGGTTCCCCCTCCTGGGGCGAACATCGTTAGTGGCATGTGGATTTTCAGGGTGAAGCGGCCGCCGGGTTCTCCGCCTGTCTTCAAGGCGCGCTACGTGGCTCGTGGCTTCAGTCAGCGGCAGGGAGTTGACTACTTTCAGACCTTCTCTCCCACCCCGAAGATGACCACTCTTCGGGTACTGCTGCACATATCCGCTCACCGTGACTACGAGCTTCACTCTCTTGACTTCAGCACTGCTTTCTTGCAGGGCAGCCTGCACGAGGAGATCTGGCTGCGCCGCCCACCTGGCTTCACTGGGTCTTTTCCTCCTGGTACCCAGTGGAGCCTCCGGCGGCCAGTCTACGGTCTCCGCCAGGCACCTCGTGAGTGGCACGACACACTGAGGACTACACTTGCGGCTCTTGGGTTTGCTCCTTCTACTGCCGACCCGTCGCTGTTTCTGCGCACCGACACTTCTTTGCCGCCGTTCTACATCCTCGTGTACGTCGACGACTTGGTCTTTGCCACAGCTGACACTGCTGGACTCGCCCACGTGAAGTCCGAACTGCAGAAGAGACACACGTGCACAGACCTGGGTGAACTGCGCAGCTACCTTGGCTTGCAGATCACCCGGGACAGAGCACAGCGCACCATTACCCTGACTCAGTCACACATGGTACAGCAGGTCCTTCAGCGCTTCGGCTTCACGTACTCCTCGCCTCAGGCCACTCCTCTGTCTACTCGCCACTCGCTCTCAGCTCTGCCTTCGGATGAGTCCGTAGAGTCGAGTGGCCCGTACCCAGAGCTTGTTGGCTGCCTCATGTACCTGATGACCTGCACTCAACCTGACCTTGCCTACCCTCTTAGCATTCTGGCACGCTATGTTGCTCCTGGGAGACACAGACCAGAGCACATGGCTGTAGCGAAGAGGGTGTTGCGCTACTTGTGCAGTACGTCAGGCATGGGGCTTGTGCTTGGAGGGCGGAGTCCAGTGGTCCTCACTGGTCACGCAGACGCTTCTTGGGCTGACGACCAGGCTACGCAGCGGTCGTCACAGGGTTACACCTTCAGCCTTGGTTCCGGCTCTGTTTCGTGGCGGTCTACCCGCTCGTCTTCTGTTCTCAGCTCCAGTTGTGAGGCTGAGATCTACGCAGGGGCCATGGCTGCACAGGAGCTGCGCTGGCTCACCTACCTGCTGACTGACCTAGGAGAGCCGCCTCGTTCTCCTCCAGTTCTGTACGTAGACAACAAGGCTATGCTGGCCTTGTGTCGGGAGCACAGACTGGAGCACAGAACGAAGCACATCGCTCTTCGCTACTTCCTTGCTCGTGAGCTTCAGCAGCGCGGTCAGCTGCGCCTTGCTTACGTGGCCTCTGAGGCCAACACTGCTGATATCTTCACCAAGGCACTTGCGCCTTGTGACCATCAGCGCTTCTGTACTCTGTTAGGTCTTGTACCTACCTTGCCTCACTTGCTCACTTCTTGACCTTGCTTGTACTGCTACATATATATATACCTGCTCTTGCTTATTTAGCGTTATATATATGTGCGTACTCATGCATGTGAACTGGCCTTGTGGCCTTGACCTTGTGCTCAGAATGTGTGGTGACGTTGTGATCCACCCTGAGCTTGCTTTGCCTTGCTTTGCTTGACTGGTCTTGTGACCCCTTGTTCTCCCCCACTTTGCCTATGGGGGTGTGTCAAACTTATATGATCTAGCCAGTGTAGGCTATAGCGGGTTAGATACTAAGGGGTACACAATTCTAGGGTTTCATATTTGTATCACTTTCATTCTTTAGTCAATCCATTCTCGTTCTAAGTTTCTCACCTAGGCCCTACTCCTAGTGTTTCTGACACTATCCTCGTATCAAGAGAACCTCATATCAACCTCCCACTGAAAATTTCCCTAAACCCGAAACCTCTCGCTAGTTTTACCAGGCAAAAAGTACAATCTTGATATGAGGTTCTCTTGATACGAGGATAGGAATACGCTCTTAACGTGCGGCTAATGGAATCCAGGCTTGGCACTGACTCACACACCCATTGCCCACAACCACCCCCAGGGGGTACCTGTGAAGGGGGAGGGGAGAGGAAATAAATTAGTTAATAGGTGGAAGAACTGGATGAGCAAGGGAAGGCAAGCAGCACAAATCATAAGCCACAGACCATCAAGTGAAACCTGAAAGATGAACCTGAAAGTAGTGGACAAGCGAAAGGCGAGAAGCAAATGCAAAGCCACGAAAGGGTGAGGTGAGAGGCTTGCTATCTAACCTTACACGCGCAGCTGAAGCAGAATTTGAGAAAGCAAGTGACGGGCGAGAAGCAGACAAAAACGGATGCAAGGGTGACGTGGGAGGCTTGCTGTCTTACCTTGCACACAGCCGCGAGCCTGAGTGTGCCAGTGGCAGTGATAGTCCGCCGAGCAGCAGAGGCAGCAGCGTGGAGTGGACGGCAGAGAGGACAACCGAGGTATCTGCTGGGGGAGGGAGGATGGGGGAAACAAGTGCAAGTAAGTGGAAGCAGAGAGTGCACGTACCTACAGAGAGGGACGTGCCAAAGCAAGCACACATGAATGAGGGTGCGGGAATGAGCTCAGCTGATGCGCACACCCATGGGAATACCTTGCTGTGGGGGGTATACCTCACCTGCTGAGCACATGATTTTCTCTACACGGCTGTCAGTGAGCTCCAGTCAGTGAGCCGCCTCTGCTTCGCCTGCTGCTACCGCCGCTGCCCCTGATGCCGGCAGTCGTGCAGTCAGTGGCAGTAGTAGCAATCCCGTGTGCTGCTCAGCTGATGTGCGTCCATTCCCTGCTTCTGCCTGCACTCACATAGACGTGCCGGGTGGAAGGACGGATGGGAGAGAGAGGATGGGAAGGAAGGGCAGGAAGGGAAGGAAGGGGAGGAAGGGGATAAAGGGGAAAATGGTGAGGAAGGGGAGAAGGGGAAAAAGGGGAGGAAGGGAGAAAGGCGGGGGAGGGGGTGGAGGGGGTAGTTAGAAAGGGGACGAGAGAGACATGGGAGAGTGAGAGACAGAGGGTTGGGGACGGAAATTCAATCAGGAATAGAACTCAGCAGTGGGTTAGGAGAGAGTGCGAGAGGGGAGTGGGAGGAAGTAGCGATCGCGGTGCGATGCGTCTTGATGGCGATCCCAGAAACTAGTTTGGCGAAACGGTCAGAGTGCACAGATCAACCGTGCGATTCATGCCTTGAATATTACGCGGGGTAAGTTGATGGGGAACCTGATGGGGAACCTGATGGGAAACTTGATGGGGAACCTGATGGGGAACCTGATGGGGAACCTGATGGGGAACCTGATGGGGAACGTTGCGCACGCCGTAGCGGAACCACAGCGCCCACACGAGCTCACAGTGCAACGGCGCTCTTCCAAAACCCTTTACTTTGCCCCTCCCCCATCCCATCCCCCTTACGAGAACGCACATCAATGCCAGAAATGTTGCGCACGCCGTAGCGGAACCAGAGCGCCCACACGAGCTCGCGAATGACTGTGTTGAGCCCGGGGCACAGCCCGCCGCACGTGACTATGGCTGCTCGCACGTCCTGAGGCTGGAATGCCAGCTGTGAGAGAAGAGAGGGAGGAGTGGAAAGGGGCAAAGGGAAGGGGAATGACTGTGTTGAGCCCGGGGCACAGCCCGCCGCACGTGACTATGGCTGCTCGCACGTCCTCTCCTGCGGCTGGAATGCCACCTGGAAGGGGGGTGCAATGGGAAGGGGGGGAAGGGGAAGGAGAGGTTGGGCGGCAGGGAAGCAGGTGATGGAGGTAAACGAGGGGAGTGGGAGCTGTGATGCACATGGCGGAACAGTGCGAACAGGAGACACATTTGATACAGCTGCTGCTGCTGGCGCTGGTGGCGCTTGCGGTGGTGGCGGTGGTGGCGGTGGTGGTGGTGGTGGCGGTGGTGGTGGTGGTGGCAAAAAAGGTGGTGGCGTGTAGGCAGTGAGGCACTGACTCATGAGTACAAGGCACAAGTCCCTCACAGCCAGCTTCATCAGATCGCCCTGCTGCTCTGCTGCCCCACCTGCTGCCCCACCTGCTGCCGCGCCTGCTGCCCCGCCCAAGGTTAAAAAAAACGTCGTTTTTTTGAAAATTTACCGTAAAAAACGGCCGTAAAAAACGGTTAAAAAGGTTCCAGAAGGTGGTTTCGTTTGAAGAAAAAATTGGCCGATTTCTGGGACCAAATTGATGGCGAAAGGTACTAGGATGAAGAGGACGAACCCCTCCTTGCATGCGTGCGCTTGTGGGCATGATTGAAAATGTATTCGACCTTGTTTTTCCCTTTTTTTGTTGGTGACAACAGTTCTCTAAAAAAAAACGCTGTTTTTTTGGAAAATTACCGTAACCGTTTTTTACGAAAACCGTATTTTTGAACCTTGGCCCCGCCTGCTCCCCTGCCTGATGCCTTCTTTGATGTTCCGCCTGCTGCTGCTGCTTCTGCTGCTGCTGCTGCTGCTGCTGCTGCTGCACGTTAGTGTATGTGAGGGAAGCGATGCAAGTGCAGAGGCATTCGAAGACGCATGGATCCATAACAAATACCACATCTGAATGACATTATTGAACCCATTGGATGAACGAAAAGTGTCCTAGCCATATGATCTCTAGACAGAATTTTAGGGCTACTGAAATCAAACCTTGTATTAAGGCTATTCAATCAAGGAAGGCAGCACGCTATCACAAAGCTGTGGCACAAGATACTCTACATGCGTTGAGGACAAAACGCACACCTTTGCTGCGAGCGATGAGCAGAGAGGCAGCAGCAGCCCGTGCTGCCCTGGCTTCGTTGGATGGTGGCAGGGCGCTGCAGCTGATGGGGACGGAATGGAGAAGTGGGAGTGAAAAGTAGGAGGGTAGAGTAGGGTAGGAGTTTTGAGAAGTCTCATAACACGTGCTGCCCTGCATCCTTGAAGGGTGGCAGGGCGCTGCAACTAATTGGGGGGGAGAGGAGGGAGTTGCAGAGGGAAAGGGAGAAGTTGTTAGGAAGGGAGGGGAGGAGAGAGAGAGATGGAGGGTTGGGGACGGAAGGTCAATGAGGAATGACATATAACAGTGGGTTAGGGGTCAGATGAGAGATGAGAGAAAGGGTGGAGGGGGATGGATGGGGGATGGCCAGGCTGGGTTGGTGGAAGCGAGTGAGGGTGAGAGTGAAGGGGAGTGTGGGAAGGAGAGTGTGGGGAGGAGAGTGTGGGAAGGACAGTGTGGGGAGGAGAGTGTGGGGAGGAGAGTGTGGGGAGGAGAGTGTGGGGAGGAGAGTGTGGGGAGGAGAGTGTGGGGAGGAGAGTGTGGGAAGAAGAAGAAGAAATGTTGGGGCATGCATGCACAAGGACGGTGGGTGTCAGCAGCCCACATGAGAATGAAACATGGGGAGGAGTATGCGTGTGCAATGGATGGATGTGCATCACATGCCATGCTATATCCGATCCCATCCCTTACTCTCCCATCCTATCCCCTGCCCTCCCTCCCCCGCTCTCCCCTCCTTTCCCCTCCCCCCCCCCCTCTCCCCTCCTATCCCCACCCTCCTGCCCCCCATGCCCCTCTCCCCCACTATTCAGACATACGATGAGAGCACGTGCAGGCAGTGCTGCAGGCAGTGCAGCAGGAGGTGCTGCAGGCGCTGCGTTGGCAGCTGCGGCAGCGGCAGTGCGTGGCTGCACCCACACGCGCTCATCTCCAGCACCCATGCTGCCAGGGGGAGGCAGAGAGAGGCGGAGGGGGGTGCGAGGTGAGAAGGGGGGCGACAAGAGGGTCGGGGGGGGGGAAAGAGTGAGGGATGAGAAGGACGGGGTGAGAAGAGGAGGGGCGGGTGAGAAGGAGGGGATGAGAAGGAGGGGGTGAGGAAGGCGGGGAGCGAGTAAGAAGAAGCAAGAAAGAGGTCATCTCCTGCACTCCTGGCTCACACTTTCACCATTCCCCACTCCCGCACCCTCCCACTCCCGCATCCCCCCATTCTCGCTATCATCGATGATAGGGAGAAGCTGTGGGAAGGGGAGGGGAAGGGAGGGTGAGCGGAGGGACAGGAAGGGAGGAGAGAGGAGGGAGATAGGAGAGGAAGGGACGGACGGAGGGAGAGTTTAGGGCGTTTGAACCGTGAAGCTTGGTTACATACCCTAAAGCGCATGAACACGTGAAGCAAGGCGAAAAACGCGTACTGAGAATGGAGCAAGGCTAGTAATGCGTACGACGAGGTCGATCGCCATGCCCGCCATTCGCGCCCACTCCGGCTCGCTCTCATGCGACAGCAGCGACGCTCCCGCCTCGTCGCACGCCTTGTCGCCCATCGCGAGCGTCGTCGGAAGGAGCAGACGAGGGGGAGGCGCGCGGAAAGAATCGGCGCGGAGGAAACGGCGCGGAGTAAACGGCAACCCTTTGAAAAAAGGCGTTCGGACGAAGACCGTTGGACGTAAAGAGTAGTTAAGGAGATAACGATACGGAACGGACGCTTACGCTAGATGCTCCATTCCTCTGTCAGTCATTGAGCACTACGGCGCGAAAACTGCGTGAAATGCAGCAAGTTCAGTCGGAGCCTTGAACACGGAAAGAAATGGCACCGTTACGCATGACGACGCTCGCGATCCCCCCCTCTCCATCTCCATCTCCTCTACCCTGACGGTTCCCCCCCGCTGCGCGGAACTCGCGACGAGGACAGACGATAGACAAGCCCTCCGATTGTACCGATCAAGCTCCCCCGGGTGAATCCTCTCGTCTGGAACACGCAGATGCTGCAACACCCGAACTCGCCATGGCATCCCTGCGCTCTGCCTTCCCCGTTGCGATGGGAGAGCAGCGTCGACATTCCCGACGCTTGGGCTTCGAATTTATCGATGCGACGCGAGCTTCCCGATGTACATTTTGCTACAAAGTTCTGGAATATATATTGCACTGCTTGCGTCAGCAGGCAGTGCAATGAGTCAGCGGGCAAGAAAAATAAAATAAACCCTCATCGGAAGGCATGCCATCCGAGGGAGCCTCAACCCTAAAATTTTAGGGTTGAGGCTCCCGAATGGCATGCAGTCCGAATGGGTTTTAGTTTTTCTGCCCGCGGGCAGAATTCTGACTCACTCGGTAGCGTCGTTTAGCGAAACGGTAGCGCTACCGACGCTACCAAGTGAAATATATTGGAGGTATTCCAGCAATGCCACATTATGTGATCATTGAGAATCTGGATTGCAAGTCTGCATTTATAACACTATTTATGTTTGAATACTTGAACAGACGCTTTGTAGAGATATGATTGCAAAAGTATGATTGAGACAAAAGAGTATGATTGCACACTAGAATAAGACAAGAGTGAACAGTGGAACTGTAGCATATGTAGATGAGCTTGATGGAAGAGAAGATGATGCTTAGAACTATAAAGAGAAACTTGTGTAAGATGAAATGTTTGATGAGATAAGAACTTAGAAGAGAAGAAGAGTGTGAGCTCGTTGAGAGAATAAGAGCGGTGATAAACACTTACTTGAGTGAATCTTACTAGGGATAGTTGTAGAAGTAACTTGAAAGAAGAACTTGAACTTGTATGGTTTACTTGGGAGTGACTTCAAGCCTTGGGTTGGATGATGATCCTCCCTTGAGCTTGTTGTCAAACTCATATGCTATAGTCTGTGTAGGCTGTAGTGGGGTAGCTTATATGGGGTACAACACTTTAGGGTTTGGTACTTGTACTCCTCATGCTGCTCAATGCAATCATTCTCGTTCTAATTTTCACATGTTATCAGAGCAGGTTCCCTAGTGGGAACGCTTCCTAGGGCCCACCACTAAAATTCGATAAAAAAAAATTTCTGCCCGGAGCGCGAGTCGCCCCTGCCCGAGGCGCGCCCCGTGGGTCGCCCTCTCGTCGCGTTGCGCCCTCTTAGAGGCTCCTCTCACGGCCCCTCGCGTCCCCTTAGCGGCCCCGTCGCTGCCCTTAGCGGCCCCGTCGCCGCCCTTAGCGGCCCCGTCGCCGCCCCTCGCGGCCCCGTCGCCGCCCATTGCGGCCCTCTTGCCGCCCTTGCGGCCCCGTCGCCGCCCTCAGCGGCCCCGTAGCCGCCCGCAGCGGCCCCGTCGCCGCCCTCAGCGGCCCCTGTCGCCGTCCACAGCGGCCCTGTCGCCGCCCTTGCGGCCCCGTCGCCGCCCTCAACGGCCCCGTAGCCGCCCGCAGCGGCCCCGTCGCCGCCCTCAGCGGCCCCGTCGCCGCCCGCAGCGGCCCCGTCGCCGCCCCTCACGGCCCAGTCGCCGTCCACAGCGGCCCTGTCGCCGCCCTTGCGGCCCCGTCGCCGCCCTCAGCGGCCCCGTCGCCGCCCGCAGCGGCCCCGTCGCCGCTCCTTACGGCCCCTCGTGGCCCCTTCGCGGCCCTGACGCCGCCCGTTGCGGCCCCGTCGCCGCCCGCTGCGTCCCCGTCGCCGCCCTTCGCGGTCGTCCGCGGCCCACTCGGCCCCTCGTGCCCCCCCCCCCCCCCCCCTCGTGCCCCCCCCCCCCTCGTGGCCCCCCTCGTGGCCCCTTAGCGGCCTTGTTGCCGCCCTTCGCGGCCCCTCCCGGCCCCTTCCCGGCCCCAGCAGCAGCAGCGGCCTCTTCTGCCGTGCAGCCGCCGCCGCTGCCAACTGCAGCCGCCGCCACTGCCGGCCACCGCTGCCGCCGTCGCCACCGCCGCTGCCGCCCCGGACCTGTTGCTGCCGCAACAGCCGCCGTCGAGCCGCCGCCGCTGCCGCTGACGAGCCGCCGCCGCGGTCGAGCCGCCACCGTCGAGCCGCCTCCGTCGAGCCGCCGCCGCTGTCGAGCCGCCGCCGCCGAGCCGCCGCCGCTGTCGAGCCGCCGCCACCGAGCCGCCGCCGCTGTCGAGCCGCCGCCGTCGAGCCGCCGCCGCTGTCGAGCTGCCGCCGCCGTTGAGCCCCAGCCGCAGCTGGACTCTTCCCTTCTCGCCACTGGTGAGCACTGCCCTGCTGCTACTGCTCTTTCTACTGTTACTACTGCACCTGGCTTGGCCAGATGCAGCTCCAGCGCCGTCCGCGTGAGTCTCTCACGCCCCAACAGCTTCGTGAGTGGTACGCTAGTTGGGGTTGTAGGGGTAGCCGCGCTGTTACTGCTGCTACTACGGCTACTACTGCTACTGCTACTCCTGGCGGTGACCAGCTGCAGCTCCAGCGACGTCCGCGTCAGTCCCTCCTGCCCCAGCAGCTTCGTGAGTGGTACGCTAGGTGGGGTTGTCGGGGAGGCCGTAGTGGGAGTCGTCCTGGAGTGAGTAGTTCGGGAGCTTCTTGTCGTGCCCAGGTGCAGCCGCAGCGTCGTCCGCGCGAGACCCTTTCGCCCCAGCAGCTTCGCGAGTGGTACGTGCAGAGTAGAGGGTCACTGAGTACTGCTCGCTGCCAATACGTCATTCGCACGGGTGTCCGGATTGGTCAGCCTTGCGGGACTCCTGGTCACACAGAGTCCCGCTGCTTCGCCCGTTTGAGCGACGCTTGGCGTACAGTGTTTGGCGACGACGCTGAGCTCCCCTCCTGGCTGGAGCTACTTAGGCAGAGGGTAGACATCTTTGCTCTAGACTATGATGCTCTTCTCACTGCAATGTATGCATTGTCTACTAGTGCTGAGGGTGCCTGTCACCTATGTGTGCCGCCTGACCCAGGTATCCAGTCTGCTGCTCTGGGTGCTGGTGAGGCTGCTGCTCTAGGTGCTCGTGCGTCTCCTGCTCCAGGTGTCGGTGAGGCTGCTACTCTCGGTGCTAGTGCGTCTCCTGCTCCAGGTGCTGGTGAGGCTGCTGCTCTAGGTGCTCGTGCGTCTGCTGCTCCAGGTACTGGTGAGTCTGCTGCCCCAGGTGCTAGTGCGTCTGCGCTCTCAGGTACCGCGTCGGCTCCGGCCACCCACACCTTCACCCTTGACTCGGGTGCTTCCCGCTCCTTCTTTCAAGACCGCACCACGCTTACGCCGCTTAGTCGGCCCGTGGCAGTCTCCCTGGCAGACCCCTCTGGGGGTCCTGTCCTTGCCCACTTCTCCACTGTTCTACCGTGTCCGGCGGCCCCTTCTGGCACCCTGTCGGGTCTTTACCTCCCCTCGTTCTCTACGAACTTGGTGAGTGGTGCTGACCTCCAGGATGGAGGGGTTCACCAGTTCACTCCTGCGAGTCAGCGAGTGACCCACTGTACCTGTGCTCGGACGGGCCGTCACTTGGCCACGTTTATCCGTCAGCCAGGGTCGAGCCTGTACACACTGACTACTGAGTCTCCTCCAGTCGCTGAGTCTGCTCAGGTAGCCGCTTCGGGTCAGGTGTGTGCTGCGGCGTCTAGGTCTGGTCCTGAGTCTGCCCTCTGCTCGTGTCGTCTCCTGTCTCACCAGACTCTCCTCTGGCACCACCGCCTTGGTCACCCCTCCCTGCCTCGTCTTCAAGGCATGGCCTCCCGTGTCCTTGTCTCTGGTCTCCCCTGGTCCCTCCCTCCCCTTCCTCCGGGGCCTGCCCCCACCTGCGTTCCCTGCGTCGAGGGGCGGCAGCGCGCTGCTCCTCACTCCTCAGAGTTCCCTCCGACAGAGGCTCCGCTGCAGACGCTTCACATGGACGTGTGGGGCCCAGCCCGCGTCCGTGGACAGGGTCACGAGCGTTACTTCCTGCTGGTGGTTGACGACTACTCGCGTTACACCACGGTCTTCCCCTTGCGCCGCAAGGGTGAGGTCACTGAGGTGTTGATCGCCTGGATCCGCGCAGCTCGTCTCCAGCTCAGAGAGAGTTTTGGCTCGGACTTTCCTGTTCTGCGCCTGCACTCCGACAGAGGCGGAGAGTTTTCCTCTGACCTTCTGCGAGCCTTCTGTCGCGCACGAGGCATCCGCCAGACTTTCACGCTTCCGGACTCTCCACAGCAAAATGGGATTGCTGAGCGCCGCATTGGCATGGTCATGGACGTCGCTCGTACGTCCATGGTCCATGCGGCTGCCCCCCATTTTCTGTGGCCGTTTGCGGTTCGGTACGCGGCGCATCAGATCAACCTTCAGCCCCGGGTTTCCATGCCGGAGACCTCCCCTGCTTTGCTGTGGACGGGGAAGGTTGGCGATGCGTCTGCGTTCCGTGTCTGGGGATCTAGGGCGTTTGTCCGCGACTTGTCTGCGGACAAGCTGTCCCCACGTGCTGTTCCCTGCGTCTTCCTTGGCTTCCCCCCTGACGCGCCAGGCTGGCAGTTCTACCACCCCACCTCGCGTCGTGTTCTGTCCTCCCAGGACGTCACGTTTGACGAGTCGGTTCCCTACTACCGTCTCTTCCCCTACCGCACTGCGACCCTCCCCCCCCCGCCGCTCTTCCTTACGCCAGGTCCCCCTCCGG